CGGGAAGGAAACCTTTTCCGGGTTTTTCCCCGTTCCGGGGGGGGGGGCCTTCAGGGGGTTCCCCGCCAGTCCATCCTTAGGGCGTTGAAACCAGCGTGGGGATTTTGCAAAAAATTCCCACTCAAATTAACCTTTTGTGTTGAAAAAAATGGACTTCGCCCAAGTTAAAAAAGACAAAACCTTTAGGAGTCCCCCACCACCAAAGGAATGGTCCAACCAAAGAACACCATTCCTTTTTTCGTTTTTCATAAATATTGCTTTCCACCCTTTTTGGTTTTCCACACCTTTTTGTTAATAAAAAAAAAAAAAAAAAAAAAACCCTTCCCTCCCCTTCGTTACCCAATTTTTTCCCCAGGCCTTTAAAGTTCCAAAACGGCCTTTCCAGAATGAACCCCCCCAGTTCTTATTTGGGTTCCCGGCCCGGTTACACCAGGGGGAACCCCCCCCCCATGTTTTTCCCCCCCAGGGGTTCCGGGTTGCCCTTCCTTGGGTTGGCCCGAAAATTCCCCGGAACCGGGGGGGGGGGGGGGGGGGTGCACAGTCGTACCAGTAAAACGCCAAGGGTAACGCGTGTGGCGTTCGAAGCGACGGCGTGTGTACTGGTACTGCTCGCAGGTGCCCTACGTATCTACGTATGCTGAAAACCCGGCCAAGTAGCACAGGCACACCACGGGGTTATTTGCACTGGTGTACCACCACTTGGCGCCACGCTTCGTGCCAGACTTTTCGGGTTCAACGAGCACATCTCACCGGCCATCTCGTCATCGCAAGATTGCGTTCTATTTTCCTTGTCCCAAGGGAGCCTTCCTTCTCGGACTACTGCTGTATAATTACAACGCCAATGAGGTTTATTTATATCCGGCCAAACGAAAAGAAAAAAAAAACTCTGGTCGAAGGGGCACCGCAGGAGGAGAGTGGGGGGGGGGTTCTCCTGTGTGGCCCCGGCTGGTGCGTCAAGACCTTCCTCTACACCACACCCGTGTACCGTAGGTTGTACGATATGAGGTTGTAAATATATCACACCCCTGGACCGATTTCGAAAGCTCGATTACTCCGCGACGAAGAGGATGCCGAAATTTAAGTATCCGTTTTCGGATAAGCTCTCGACGAGACCGTTCCAACGCCTCCCGCCATTTTTGGCACCGCCACCGCTTTTCTTGCAGCAATGTAGAGCGTCGAAAATCGGTCCAGAGGGTGTGATATTTTACGCCACCTACGGTGCCAGGCTCTCTCTCTCTCTCTCTCTCTCTCTCTCTCTCTCTCTCTCTCACCGTTGCTGCGAAGATATGCCAGCACATCGGCCACGTCGTGCTGCTCGAAGTAACCCAGCGTCACGAAGTCCCCCTCCGACATTCCCGACCCAGAGAAGTCGAAAGAGACCACCGTGCAAGCGGCCGTTCCCAGCACCTAACAGCAGGCCGTGGATGGGAAATAGAAAAAACGAAAACAGGGAAAGAACGCGCCATTTTTCGTAAGACCCGCAGTAGGCGGTAGGCGGGGGCTCGCTTTTGCATGAGGTTTCTAATCGATTCGCTCCGCCCCGGCTGCAGAGCAAGCAAGAGTTAGAGTTTGGGTGCACATCCTGTTGGTTTGGGCTGTTCAATTTTGCACGTGACCAATCACGCACTCCCGATCTACTCCGCTGTCTTCCAGATCAATTTCCATGCTCCCAAGCGCGCCTTCTCCGTGCCCAGGGGCCTTCCGAAAAAGGAGCTACCGCAACAGGAAGTGACCGTCAGTTATTCCATCTCGGAGGAATATTCCACCCGCCTACCAGGGTGCTTGAGGGAATATCTAACCAACCAGCAGCATGTGCGGCAGCAAACGTAAAAGACACCTAAGGGTACCGGGAGGGCACACCTCACTAACCAGCAGCTAACCAGCAGCATGTGCGGCAGCAACGACGAGACATCTAGGGTGCTGGGGCGAACGGCTCGCCAACCAGGGCGGCAGCAACAACGACAACACTACCACACAACCACGCTTACCCTTAGCGAACTTGTCTTGACAACGTCGACACGCGCCGAGCTGTTCCCGTGAAGGTACACGACGCACGGCAGCTTGGAGGTGTCCTCCGTAAACGCCGGCCGCCACTGGCTGCACACCAGCTTCAGACCCCTCTGGTTCCGGACCTCGAAGTCTCTCCGCTTCATGGCTAGACCGCTGGGAAGGAAGAGGGAGATGAGAGGGTGCGGGAGACGGAGAGAGACAAGAATAAACATGACAAGCGAATGACAAGAGGGGGAAGGGAGGTGGAGAGAGAGAAGAAGAAAATGAGAATTGAACAAGAGCGAGCCCAATAGGACAGACGATGAGGCTTGTAGCGAGGAACCGGAGAGAAAAGAATCGAATGGAAGAGAACTCAAAAAGGACAGGCAATGAGGAGCTTTTAGCGAGAAACCGGAGAGAGAGAGAGAGAGAGGGAGAAAAAAAAAAATCGAGGATAGAGAGAGAGAGAGAGCTACAAAACAGACGGGTGGTCAAGCTTCAGCGGTTCTACGACAGGAGCAAGGACGCCGGCGACGAAGGGTATGAGTGCTCCCGTCCACCACCAAAAGGTGTCTTCCATCCCCTTATCCTTGCCCTTACAGGTAACCCTACGGAACAAACACCCCCGTCATAGCTTCCCCTCTCCGAGACTGACGGTTAATGTTGTCCTTCGGCCGAGCTGTTACAAATCACGCGCCGCCTACACCACTCACGCAACGCTCTCCATTTGGGCAGCCGGTTCGTGCGTTCGATGCTACTACCCAGACCAAACAAGCACCCGCACCCACACCCACACATGTAGCTCTCCCGCAAAAAAGATCTACAGTTGTTGGTTGGGCATGAGTTGAACTTTAGCGAAAACTTAACTAGCATGCGCACGAACACCCATGGTCTTAAGTGACCCACTCGTGCTGTTTCGCGGCTAAGCACGTTCGCGCCTCGCCCTCTCCCCGCCCTGGTCTAAAAAAAATACAAGGTCCGCTCAACAGTAGTCGAAAACCATCATCACCGTGAGAAGAAAAAAAAACACCCACCTGCTGAGGGGGGTGACCTCGTTGCCGAGATCCCCAATGGAATATTTACATCGAGGAGGCCGAACGATTGCCATGACGATCTTGTTGTACCAGCCGGACCTCGCCAAGTCTATCGCAGACCTGGACGACTTCGCGCGCCCCGGTAGGCGCCGCGCTTCTGCCCACCTCGCCCCACCGCCACCACCACCACCACCACCACCAGCCGCCCCTCCGGCCCCTCGCCTCCTATCTAAAACGGCGGTGCTGCCGCCAGCCCCCCTGGCGCCACCCGCGGCAGCGCCGCTCGCACCGCTCGCACCGCTCGCACCGCTCCCGCTGCTCCCGCTATAGTCTAGTTCCACATCCCGCTGGCGCAAGCCCCCGCCGGTACGCACCCCTCTGCGTCCGACGGGCGGGGGTATCGGCGACTGATTGTCCGAGCCGTCTGATGACAACGAGGGGCTCAACGTGGAGTCGTTTGGCATGGGTATTCTGCAAGGAGAGGGGGACACGCCGCAAGAAAAAAGGAAAAGGGGGGAGGGGCGGAAAGGGGCGAGGAGGGTGCATATAACGACGAATAAACACAAACCGTGAAAGCAGGTAAGGGGGTCGGGTACCTGAGTAGCCAAGCGGCCGGGATGCCACACACAGGGTAGAAAGAGGGATTGAGATTAAGAATGAGATCGAGAGATAGACACAGACAGACAGACAGACAGACAGACAGACAGACAGACAGACAGACAGAGTGAAAGAGAGAGAGAAAGAGAGAGAGAAAGAGAGAAGGAAGGAGACGGTAGCAGTAAAAAGGGGGATCTATCAAATACAGAGCATAATCATCCCCTCTTTACACACATTCGCAGGCGGTGCTTGTGCCCTGCATGCCACTCTTTCTTCGCCTCCTTCCCTCGCCCGCCCGCCTACCCTCCCACGTTCGTCTCTCAGTACATGCTTCTCTCTGCCACCACTAACCTGAAGTACGAGATACCCGGCACCGCTTGGTGCTCGTGCCGGTTCTTTCGCAACAGAAACCGATGCCGACGCTGGTCGTGCCTTGCGCAAAAGTGCGCTTCGCAACCCTGATTGCAGCAGCAGCAGCAGCAGCAGCATCGGCAGTAGCAACAGAACAGGGTGGACACACGATTCAGAGCAAGCGGACTACTTGATCGCCGAAAATGAGAAGGGGTTCGCCTCGCGCACTCAACCTGGCAGATAATTTAGTCTGGGTATACCAAGGGGGGGAAATGATCGAATACGATATTTACTACTACTCCGTGTTGGAGGTAAGTAGTTGTAAGTCCGTCTGGATCTGAGCGCCTCACACAGAACAGCGGGTAAGTTCGGGCCACTCTCAGCTCGAGACAATGATTTACGGACGAGCTAAGGCTCGCCCCCCGCGCGGACGCCGATGGGCAACTCCCTTTTCGCGGAGCCGACTGGTACCGCCCTCTCTGGACGACTCCGCCGTCGCGGGCTCCAGGCGCCAACCGAGCGCCGGCCAAGTTTCCCACACCGTGAACAGCGGCGCTTCAAACGCCGTCGGTCGCACCTCCATCTATCTATCCATATCTGCAGAATCTGCCCCGAGACTGTCAACAAGGGCGCCTCTTGATTGGACGACACTTTTCGCACTAGGTATGTTCCTCGCTTTCGGCCAAGTGTTATGTATTGGGAACCTTCCAGTGAACTCGGAATATGTATCTATCTAGCCAAACCGTGCAAAGCACACACATGCTCCTATGTCTACCCTTCGTGCGTGATAGCGATGGTATATAGCAACGTTAGCTATTTAGGTTCGGTTTGAGGACGGCTGTGACACTGCTGTAACGCCACCTGCACTGCTAGTGCGGGCAAACATTTCTTCCACAAATGGCACGAAAAGGCACCTGGCCAGATTCCGAGAATGAACAATCTGAGTCTCCGAACGCCGGTCTGTCTTACAGCTCTTTTGGAAATGGAAAGATAGAAAGTTGTTGTTGTACTTGTAGTCGAGCAAAACCATAGCTAGCACTAGCCAACGTTACACACAGAGCGGGGCACTTTGGCGAACATCGAGAGAGTCGCCATGTTGCGGGGGGACGTGTCCCTCGGGAGTTAACACAACAATTCAACAACTGCAGCTTCACCGCACCATGACGTGTATCGCATCTTCGACGAACCTGCATATTTCTGTCCCTCTTCTGCTGCGATGTGTACACGTCTACCACACTCAATTCCGCAATGCACCGAATGTCAACACATGGTACTCCCGCCATCTCGAGTACGTTACACTTGGTATGCAGTCTATGCCCACCACCTACCAACTATATCTGACCGCTTTCACTGCTGTGGGCATGGGAGTCCCCCGCGTCCTGCCCCTGGACAAATAATCAACCAGCAGTATAGTCGCAGCAGTCAAAGCGGCGCCCTGCCTCTTACCTTGCAGTAGATAATCCCCATCGCGTCGCACTTGATACATCGCGCGTTGAGGTGCAGGCTCGGTAGAGACTCATGCCTGACCAGGCCTGGCGCCTTGAACGCCTCCTCCAAGTCCCGTCGACCCCGCCCCCCCGCCCTGCTCAGCTGCTGCTGCTGCTCCTGCTGTTCCGGTTCCCCTTCCAGCTCGTCGAGGGGTTGCGGAGAGCTATCTAGAGACATGCATTCCCGCCTGCGTGCACGATGGGGGAGGAAATGGAAGCGGGGAAGCAACGCGCGGCGGCGGCGGCCGCGGCGGCAGAGGCGGGAAGAGCACATGCCCGTCAGTGAAAGAAATCAAGAGGGTGCAAGACTCTCTTCGTCACGACACTACTGTGAGGCGAAAAAACGGGAAGGGGGGTGTGTGTACCGACACAAGGATAGCACACCCACAGAAGATAGCACACCCCCAACATACCACTCCAAGAAAGCACGCCCATCCGGTGATGTTGTTTGACACAGAAAACTTTGTCAACCTATCCATCCAGACAACAAACAGATGACGGGTGACACGAGACAACACACCCAAAGTTACGCCGCGTATCAATCACGCGTTATTACACCCGGTGTGGTACTGCTGTGACGAGCACGTCGGCACACACGAGCAGAAGCACAAAGCAGTTGGTACGCATACAAACACTTTCATAGTCATGGAGGTGGAGGAGGTAGACAATCCTCCTGGAAACAAACAAACAAAACCCTGCCGGATGCGACGTGGCTCAGATGGCGGTGCCAGCAACGCCTGGGCCGGCGGTGCCTCGATGGGGCGATCATGTCAGACTTTTTCTAAGAAAACGACCCGACGCCAAACCGAGCGATGAGACTTGCATACGTTACGCGGAAGCCTCGTATAACAGCAGCGTCCGCGTTCTATGACACCAGTCAAGGAGTGCGGCAGCAGCAATGTGTTGGCAACAGAGATGTGCGCATCACACCCCTTTCTTATCACACACCCTTGACATGTCATACCCCATTGTGGGAGCAGCAATGTTGCTGGCAATAGAGATACCACCCACACAACCCTGATTGCGGGCTCCGTTAAGCGTGCACAGCAGTATCACACCGGTGACAGAAAGATAAAATAGCACTCCCCTTTTCCAGGATGTAGCACAGCAGTCGGTGATAACAACACTCCTAATATTAATATTCCTATCGCCCTTGCGTACTTTTTCGCGTCACCTCAAAACGGTGTTCCACTTCTGGACGAATGGATGCCGGGGCACTACAATACACTGCTGTGAGATTAATAATGAACCCCGAAGGCTACCCTCTGGGGTCCGACATAAAACCGCGTTTCATGTCATCAGCCAATAGCAACTGAGTTGGGTTTACGGTGAGCTATGCAGCTCCTTGGCGAGATCTAAAACGGACTCCACACGACCAACAAAACGCCGAACTGAGGAACCTTCCGAGATCATGACGGAATGGCGGTTTTCTTGGTTGTGGCAAAACCAAAGCAACATAGAACTTGACTTCGATCACACAATCCACCTTGTACCTTGTACACAGATGTCTCTAATCGCAGTGAATCACGTATCGTACAGCCGCACAGCACAAGGACTCAAGAGAAACTTACGAAACAAGACGAAAAATAATGATTGTGCAGTGCATGCACCTTGACAGGATGGCGTTGCCTGGTCCCAGGTATATATCTCCATATTCAAGTGCATGATGCATCAGCGTACACTCAGATGCGGATGATGTGCGTACATTCAGGCCATCTAATTAATCCTGATGTGGCGTGAGACTCAGCCTAAAAGAGAGCTCGTGGGACTCTTGTTCTACTCTATGTGACATGGCAACACCTCACAACGTGTCGCTCCTGTTGAGACTTGGATGGCGTTCAGCAAGGCTGGTCACCGTCTACTTCGTAGCACAGCGAGAAAAAAAAAAACTTTTCATGTGGTGGGCCGCCGGACGCCGGCCATGCTATTACCTCTCCACGAAGCAAAATACGCACGGCAAGGACCGGGTAGCCCAAAGAGTCATTAAACCAAAAAAGAGACAGAAATCATATCTGGCCATCAACAACAACAACAACGACAACGACATGCACCAAAGTAGGCCTGAAGCTGCTGTCAGGAGTGAAATTCTTCGAATCTTTCGAGCGGTCGCTGCTGCTGCCGCGCCACGGCCGCCGTGGGACGAAAAACTCAGACTATTTGTACAGCATTAGCTATTTATTTATATTAGCTTGCATAGGCCACCGCGGCGTGAGTTGTGGTCGGCAACAACCATCGTCGGCACACACCCACCCCCGCCCACACGCCGTTCGAAGAAACGCGACGGTACCGGTGTTGTAGTTGGTTTTAATCGTTCAAAAGCAAGCCTATGGACGTGGAACAGAGGGGAGATGGGCTTACCGGTGTGACTTTTGTAACAAAAAAATGAGCGGAGACTTGGAACACATGACATGTACATACCCTTCGAGAGAGGTATAATAGTAACACCAACAAGTGTGTAGACTTTCTTTGATCGCAGACAGACGTACATTTTGGATAGAGATGACTCGTTGTGTTCGTACATGTGCATGCACAAGAAAAAAAGAAACACTCACACAAACAAACCTACCAAACCTACCATGTCAGACAGGTGTGTTCGGTAAAGGAGACTCAGGCACTCAAGCAGTTCTGTTGGCTGGCAGTCTGATCGTTGCCCCCTTTGTTTTTCCTGCCCATTCGACGGTTTGTTCGGCGATGGCCTTTTGACCGTCTCCAGCTAACCGATCAACAGCAGCAACGGTAAACCAGTGTCACAAAAGAGCAAAAAGGAGCCGGCAATTTCCATGGGTGTGGTTTTCGCTCTTGGGCTTTTAAAACGCCCGCGCACCTACAGCAGTATTCGTGCGCGTTTGTTGTAGATGACGCGCATCTACTCTTTCTCGTTACCCCTCAGTTGGCACACTGACTGCTGTAATCAATCTTTTAACACAAACCAAGAATGTCCCTTCGACAGCAAAATACAAAAACTGTTTCACATACATGCATGCATAAATTTTCGTTACGAAAACTGCTGTCGTGTTCACCGCACCGCTCGACCGAGGCGTAGTCGGCACGGGGGTGCTTTAGGCACCCATGGATAGATTGTAGCGGCAGTCTTTTGTGGCAAGATCGATAGCTGCAAAGAGAGACCACAGCCAGCAGTGCTCTCTCCACATTCACAGGCTCGGAAGACAGAAATAAAAAAAGCATCGGCGCCCAGCCGTTGAATTAAGTAGTCACACACACACCCGGGAAGAGCAGGATAGATAGATAGACCGATGGGATGCTCCCAGCTAGGAGATGGAACCGCGGTACAGCAGTTGGTGGCCATATCCCGGGGAGGCACCGCAGCACCAGCATCACCAACAAAGTACCTGTGAGAAGCCCATTGGACGTCACCGTCCGACGCCGATCGAGCGTCTCTCGTGCCCTTCATCAGCAACACAGGCTTCTTTTGAATATCGTCTGCTGCTGCTGCTGCTGCTGCTGCTGCTGCTGCTGCTGCTGCTTCTGCTGCTGCCGTTGTTGCTGCTGACACGACACTGAAAGGAGCGTTGCCGGCGTACGTATCTGCTCTTCCTCCTCCTCTGCGTTGTTGTCGTTGTTCGAGGGAATGACGCCCCACACTGGCTCTTCTCGTTGTGCACAGCAGGAGGGTGTGCGCCCCCTCTCTGTCCCCCTCCTACAACATCAACTGCACGCCCTGGGTGTGTGTACAGCAGAATGCTCTATCCTATATGACACCAGGACTCAATGATGTTCCACCATTGCCTTATTTTATTCTCTCCTATGTTGCTGTTTTTTACACACTCCGTGCACGAAAGAACAAATGGGCGACTTGCTAGGCCGCCGCCCATGGAATTCGTCGACCACCGAGCGGTGCTGCGGGAAACAAGGCAACAAACGTACAGCAGTATAAGCATTCGGACCACTCTGAGTTGCTTTGCCCTTGTCGTTCCTAGGCGGTCAGAATTGTCCGCCCTGCACAAGCGCGCATGATCTTCCGAGTCGATAAAATAAACCTATTAAAATAAGCCCCTTCCCCCGTCCCACACCAGTTTTTGGTGTGATTCTCTTTCTTTTTTTTTGCAACAAAAAACAGAGCATAAAACCTGTCAGCAAAAACCGCGTTCCGCGTTCCGAGAGGTGAAGTGAACACAGAGCTTTAGATATATTCCGGCGAGGGGAGAATTCACAGAACATCAGTGCAGGGCGTTCCGTGGGGTATGATGCATCTGAAAGAGTCAACACAGCAGTACAGCAGAGCCGTTGCACACACACACACACAAATCGTCTTACCCTGCTGATAAGGAACACGCTCGCAACAGCATCAGGCGACAGAGGCTATTTAGCTGCTGTAGATGCACTCGAATAATCTGGGAAGTCTAATAACAAGAACCGCCACTGCTGTGCTGCGTACGTAGCTGCTGCTGTGGTTTGCGGATGTTGTGTTTGTGGAGAGCAACGAGTGACGTTTGATGTGTTGGGGACGTGCTACTGCTGGTGCTGGTGCTGGTGTTGCTGCTGTGTGTGCATGCACAGCCCCCGTTTGATGTCAGCGGAACAGCAGCACACAGCACGGCAGGATAGACACATCACACAGAGGAGCTATTGTAAGCATAGATAGTCTAGGGGGTTTCGGGCATTAGTCTAGTCGTCTAGTCTAAATAGAGTGATTTGATTTACCTACCTGCTTAACTCTCCGTCCCAATTCCAACACACATCTTCTTCTGGTGCCTTTGCTCTCTCACCCGAAATAGTCATCCGCTAGCATGCCATCCTCGACGATCACTCCTGGGAGAGACCGCCGCACGCTTTTCCTCCGCATCGCTGCTTTTCTCCCGCTGCCCCCAGCAACAACAAGCGGAGCCCGCCCCCGTTTGTATGATGCTTGTCTTTCCTTCTGCGAAAAAGGCGCCTCTGCTGTTACAGAGCCAGAGTGTCCCTTTTGTGTAGTCCCCCCCCCTGACACCAGCAAACAAGGCTGTTTATGTCCGCACGACGCTGCAAGCAGGGTGCGGTAGCCCTTGGGGTTCGGCAGGGCGCGCGGCTCTCCGGCTTCTTCCTTTCCTTTCCTCTTCTGCATTGCTGCTTCCATCATGGACGGGCTCACGCGCGCACGCACAGCAGACAGCAGTCTCACGGCGGGGGCGACGCAAAATCAAGAAGTGCAGATCAGCCAGGCCTTTTATGCTGGGTGTGCAGCGGACACCCTCGCTACCGCGCAAAACGACGCAAATACGCAGCAGGATCAACAAACGTTGGTGCTCTAGAGTTGCCGACTGCTTGGGAGCTGGTTTTTACGCCGGAGGAGATTACACGGACGGATATATATTAGGGTGAGTGTGTCAAGGATGTCGGCCGCTGTCTCTTTTGGGTAACGGGCCTGCTGGAAGCCTCGTTTGTTCCAAGAAGGCACACGTGCCGCCGTTGAAGGTCCTCCTCTCACAAAGGGCTCGCGTGGGGTAAGACAAGGAGAGAGAGAGAGAGAGAGAGAGAGAGAGAGAAGGAGGAACTTCTGCTGGGTTCTATGTGTATCCGCCATCGATTGTCTGCTATATGTCACGGATAGTCTCGATCCTATTTGGCAACTGAATGCTGCGTTCGAGAAGGTGCGGCAAAACTGGATTTAAAACGGCAGTTAGCCAGCAACCACGCGGCACCGAGCGCAGTCTAGTACATAGCCTCGAAGAATTTAGAGGGGATGCCACGACATCAGAGTGACTTCTCCCTGAAGTAGAATCCGGTGACCTTCTTCTTAAAGGCAAGGCAGCCCACCACGACAAGTGATGTGGTAAACTGCCGCGTGACTCGGCCTCTGTGAAGCCTCTGTAAATATGCATACATTTGAAGCATCGCATTGCCCATCGATAAGCATACCTCGATTTCCCTTAGACGCAAGTAGAAAGAAGGTAGACAACTGGCGGCATGACTCGTCCTTACGACGGCAACACGTGTCGCTCGGAAAGAGAGGGCCCGTGCGTAGGTGCATTGCGGGGAATTTAATACATGCTGTTACGTGCGGTGGGATGGTCACGATGGAACTGGCCAGATCGCTCCGTGCTGATGTTGTACGTTTCCGCCAGTCCGCCGTTTCTGAGTGAAGGCGGGTGATTCCTCCTCTCCGTGCCTTGCTGCCTGTGGACAACAATTGAGCGCCCGCGCTCTACAGTAGAGTGTGGCAGTTACAATGATATATTCATGCTTAACATTATATCAAAACAGAAGGAAGAACGCGAGTCACCTTTTGTGAGCCCGGTTAAGAACCTACACTATATAACCTTTTATGAACTATGTAGAGCCACAAGCTGTAGCCTACAACCTACCAGGTAGGTACGTTAGGAACTTACAGAACCCCAGCCTTGGCCAAGACTGGAGGTTCTTAGGCGCGGGCGCTAACTCTGCATGTCTCGCACGGCAGTAGACTCGCGGATGGCAAACACCCCACCGACAATCCTATCTTTGCTCCGGGGCCCTCTCCCCAAACGCCTGCCGCCTCACGGCAGTAATGTACCCTGTACCTGAAGTCTCCCTCCGTGACTACTGCTGTATCACTACAAAGAGCACGCTTGTTTTACCAGAATCTGCCGTGTTGCCGACGACGGTTTTTTTGCCGGCACGACATGTGGCGGCAAGCCTTGTTGTTTCGCTTCCCCCCTACAAGGACTTGTTGAAGAAATAGGTTATTCAAGCGACTCACAGCAGCAGCTGCCGGACGCCGAACACAGCCACCGAAGACAAGCACAGCAGTGATGCTTGTAAAAAGTAGTGCTGCTTTAGCCTGTTATCCGCGAGACGTCTCGCTGTACTCTGTGCTGCGAGGATCGCTACACGCTCTGCACAGCCGCTGCCGAACTGTCTGAACTTTCTTCCGGACATGGGGGTACAGCAGGTTCACACCTGGATGTGGATGTCGATGAAAGGTTAAGGTTAAGGTTAAGGTTAAGGTTAAGGTTAAGGTTAAGGTTAAGGTTCAATGGGGGCGTTGTTAAGGTTATACCCGCTACGTGTCCCGGTGGCACCTCACTGCTTACCTAAACGCCCGCACCCCTCTCTGCCCGTGCTCTGTGTCAGCGGCCTCGCTAACCTCTCTCGCGCCCCGTGACCGCGGTTTGCACACACGCTAGGCATCACGGACATCGCATCCCCCACACGCCCCACAAGTATGTCCGCGCGCGAGGGTTGGGAGGGAGAATCGAGGGTAATCTACCAAGACGTCGGCGCCCGCGTGAGCCGCCTCCAGGCCAGGAGGGCCGCCGCGCACTACGCCGGGCGGAAGAGAGAGAGCGAGAAACACGTCGCAGGCAACAGCGGCGGCGACAAGGACATCGGCAGCGGCAGCGGTAGCGACGGCGGCGGCGGCGGCGGCGGCGGCGGCGGCGGCGGCAATGCCCTCGGCACCAGCGGGAAACGATTTGTCAGCCTAATGTTCGATCCCCCGGGCCGCTACAACGGGGCGAGGCATCGACTCCCGGAGGCCTTCGTCCTCGACGCCACCGGCAAAGAGCGGCGGATGCCTTACTACGGCCTCGATATTGGCCCCCTCGACGTGGGCTCCGTGATAGTGCTGCGAGGTGCTCCTCGTGGAGAGCACCTTGCGGCGTACTTGGTGGGAGAGGAGGAGCACCAGGTATCGGTGTTTGTTCTTCCACGACAAGTGGGTTGTTGTGGGTGATCGGGGACTAGGATGTACGTATTATAGTAGTTTTTGTGATGTGTGTGCCCCGTGATTCCGCCAAGTGGAAAGCGGACACGCCCCCGGTCGTCGGTTTCCCGAGTGCCTCCTCCGCTTCACCGCTATGTACCCAACCCCACCGCTCCCTCACAGCTCATCGCTCGGACGCTGCCATCACCACAACAGCTGTTGCTGGTACAATTTTAATTTTTTCCCTGGTACGATCACCACCACTGCTGTGTTTACACCTCCGACTGGTGCTGCTTCTGCTGCTTCCTCGCCGCCGATTAGGTGTTTATCGTGGGCAATGGAGTGGCGTGCGCGCCAACCCTGCTTGGCGACGGATTTCTTCGCGACAGGTAGACTTGACGGTATTTTTCTAGATGAGGCAAGCACGCTCTCTCACAAGTCTCACCGCCTGAGATTGCTGTTTGCAGCACTCGAGGCGAAGCACCCCTCGGTAACTCTCTCTCTATGTATATATATACATTGCTGCCGGTGCTTTATCCTCCGTCCACGTGGCGAGAACAAAGGTTAGCCGCGAACAACGTGCGAAGCTGTAAAAGATCCCGCTTCCGTGTGCATCGTTTTCGGTGTTTCTCTTGTCCCTCGTTGAATCTTGTCTATAAACTCGCCAAACACGCGTTCTCCTCCTCTTGCATTCCGTGAACTCGCTGCCACTATTCCTGCCGCGATTTTTCCTTCTTCTGACGAAGGGAGGGGGCGGATGGGAGCCAGGAGAGTGGGCGAGGAGGAGGAGGAGGAGGAGGAGCGGGGAGTTCCCTCGGAGGAGGCGGTGGTGGCATCAGCAACGGCGACGACGCCCGACGAAACCCCTCCGCCGGAAAACCACCATTTTCGTCGTCGCCGGACAGCGGTAGTCGCAGCCAAGCCGAAAACTTGGAGCGAGCCGCCCATATACGAGGAGAGGCGCTGCGGGAGCTGGTTGGGATCGGAGGAGGAGGAGGAGGAGCGACCTCGAACGGCGGTAGCGGCGGGGCCGGGGGGGCGAGTGCGCACGAGCTGTTTCGGCAGGTGCGACCGGCGCTACTGTGCACTTGTGGGGGGCTGGGGGGGGGGGTTTTGTTTGTGTGCCTCTTGGGCCCTCCCCGGTAAAAGGGGGGGTTGAAACGAAGGGCAACAATCTTGGAGGGTGGCCAAAAAAAAAAAGGGAAAACCACCGGGACAAAAAAATATGTAAAGAGAAATATCATTTTTAGTTTCTGGTCGTGGGCCGGGAAAACTTGGTCCCGGGGGGGCGCCACTTTTTTTCACCCCCCCCTTTCCGGGAAACCCAAGGGGGGGGCCTCCGGAAAAAAACCCGCGCGCCCCAAGAACGCCAGCCCCCCCGGGGACGGGGAAACGAACCCCCCTTTACGTCACCCCCCCTGGGTCTAATTTGGGGGGAAGGTTTTTTGCCCCCAAGAAAAAAAACTGACCCAAACAAATGTCGAAAAACAAAAAAAAAAAAGG